GATTCTCCGTTTGTGCTTATGCTTGCTAAAGGGGCTTGAACTTTAAACGATAAGAGCTATTGTGTAACGTTATATTTGTAATAGTTTTCAAAAAGAAATTATCTTCTTGTAATTCGACTTTGTGTCTTCGACTTTTTGGAAAAGTGACTTTTCATTATTTCTCATTTTAATTTTATTTCAAAATTTTATTGCAAATTTTATTTCAAATTTTACTGCAATTTATCTTTTCATAAAGAATTATTTGCAAATTTAGATTCAGAGGTTTAGAAAAATAATTTTTCATTATCTCTCATTTTAATTTTATTTCAATGTTTTATTTCAAATTTTATTTCAAGTTTTATTTCAAATTATAATTCAAATTATACTTGAAATTATCTTTTCATAAAGAATTGTGGTAATTTAGATCCAGATCCAGGAAAAGTTGCCTTTTGTACACTAGTGAGTAAAATGGACTTTTTTCCACTAGGGAGCAAAGCGCTGATTTTCAACACTAGAAACTTAAAGCATTTTTCTTTTATTTTAGAAAATAATGTGAAAAAAATAAATAATATTTTTTTGTCATAAGTGAATAAATAGATTTTCCCCACCCGTGGAGAAGAAAATAAATTTTTTCCATCACCAGGAAAAAAACGATTTTCAACACTAGGGAATAAATTAAATTTACACTGGCCAGCAATATGCTTTTCTTAACTCTCTAGAATTAAAAACAAACAAATTTTCAAATTGATTGAATAATATAAGAAATTTAAATACTATTTCCGCACTAGTGAGTAAAAAAGGTGTTTTTTCAAAAAACTTGAAAATTTAATAGAAAAAAATAGAATATATGTAAAAAATAATAAAAAAAATAATTTTTATAATTAGACTAAAAATAAGTACATACTTTGTTTAGTTATCACTCATTAAATAATTAAAACAAATACAGAAATTTTTTTTTCTAATTTAAAAGAAAAAAAAAGATGAAGAACTGTGGTAAAAGAAATAAAACAATAAAATTTAAATACACCATAATCGCTTTTGGAGTGAAGAGAAGAGTATTAAAAAGGAACGATTCATATATATTTCAAAACAAAAGAGTCGACAACAAATCACAATCAGTGACATTTTTTTGGCAGAGTTTGAGATTTCTTTTGGCTCTATTATTATTTACTGGACTCTCCAGACAGCGGAAATTACGATCGACACTGACTGTGTCGCGTTTAGAATGAATCATCCTCGTAAAACCCCAGCAGAATGAAACTCCATGAAGCGGGTATTGCAGTTTCGAAAAATAAGTGAAAAAAAATACCCCGTTTGTGACACAAAAATCTTTCCATCAATGATAGTAAAAAAATTTTTTTTTCGTTTGAGTGACGAATGAGAAATAATAAATTATAATAAATAACAATAATTATTAATAATAATAGTGTAATATTAATGATAAAAATAGTACCTATAATAAATAATAACAAAAAAAATGGTTAAAGGCAGAAATATTTTAATTTAAAAATAAAAAACTAGTATAGTTAATAAATAATATAATAATTAATGTCTCTGATATAAAATAAAAAATCGAATTCAAGTTAACAAAATGAAAATCTCATCTGTTATAAAATTAAAAAAAAGAAACGAAATCATAACTTTCGTTTATTAGTGTTTTAAAAAAAATAATAAGAAAACATTAAGATTTTAATGTTTGATCATTTTTTTTAAAAAGCTTTTACTTTTTTCTAACTGTAAAGTCGCACGCTATTTTCACATATATATGTACCTATATAATGCTACGAGTGTTTGAATAAAGCTCCGTATAAAAATACACTTGGCGCTTGATCGTTTCCTTTCTTCGAATTAGATATTCATTAGAAATTTCCCTATTTCACTAGAGTAAAAACCACGAGAGAATTACTTTTTCCTTTTTCATTATTCTGTTTCTTTTATTTAAAATACAATTTACAAGAAATTTTATATTTAAAAATAAGAAAATTAAAATACTTCATTTAAAGAAAAGATAAGCTTATTATTATCATTATCATTATTATTATTTAACAATATTTAGTAAATTTCAACTCAAGGTTGAGTAAAAGAAATTTAAAACAAATAAAGTAATGATTGGGGTACAGTTTTTCTAAAACGTATTTTCTAATTTTTTATTTTCTAAAAATTTTTTTTCTAATAAAGGTGAATTTCTAAAAAACTTTTTTCTAATGAAGGTGATTTTCTAATTTTCTTTCTTCTAATAAAGGTCATTGTCTAAAAATTTCTTTTTCTTATAAAGACAATTTTCAAAAAAAAAATTTTCTAACAATATTCAATTTTTGTAATGACGACCAATAGGTATATGATTAGAAAAGAAAATTTACGAAAAATTTTTATTTATTTAAAAATAAATACTTAAGATTTCGTTAAAAAATTATAATAAAAAATAGAAATTATGCAAATTTTTTAACTAAACTTTAAAAAAAGTTAAAAATGAAGTTAAAAATCATAATTAAGAAATAGAAATTATAGGGATTTTTTTCCTAAAGATATTTCAAATTTTCTGTAAAAGTGTTTTATAAATAAATTAATTTTGGAACTTTCAGTATAAAAATGATGCAAATTATTATTTTTTTTCCAAGAAAAATAGGATTTTGTTAATAAATTGTGATAAAAAATAGTAATTTTATTAAAAACTTTTTCTTTTTTTAAAAAAAGAAACTTATAATTTTATAAACAAAATTATGATTGAGAAACAGAAAATATGCAAAATAATTTTTATTTCTTAATCTTAGTTTTTTTAAAAACAATTTTCTAACTTTTATCAAAATTATGGAAATTTTAAAATTTTTAGCAAATAAATATTAGAAATCATAACTTTTTAGAAAATTTTTTTTTAGAAATCAAAACTTGTTAGAAAAACTTTTTTTAGACAAAAAGGATTAGAAAATATTTTTTAGAAGAAGTGACCACCTACCAAAGTAATACATAAAGTATAAATAAAGTAATGAAATTATACAGTTAAAATGTTTATTAATTTAAATTAGTGAATAAATATTTTTGAATAATTCAAACTAAGAGAAGAATTTGACAAGAATGTTAACAAATTACATTCGATTCAAAGAAAAAAAATTCTCTTAGTAAAAAAATTTACAGTTTAAAAACAACAAAAACAATCACAACAATAATTAATTAAATTAATTAATAAGATTAAATATCTGAATATTGATTAATTAGTAATTTCAATACATAATATTATGTTTTTTATTCTATATTGAACGTAGAATTCTATATATTAAATAACGAATTTAAAATACAGAATATATAATGTTCAAATGTTAATTAATTATTCAATTTTTTTAAAAATATTTAATATCTGAATATAGATTATTGAATACTTAATATTAGTAATTAATTATTATGTATTAAATATTAGACATTAAAAACTCAATGTTTAATATTTAATATTCATTCATTAATTTGTAATATTAAATATTCTAAAATCAACATTCGAATTTTAAATATTGAGTACTCAGTATTCTATATTCAGTATTCAATATTCAGTATTTAATATTCTGTATTCAGTAAACAGTATTTAATATTCAAAATTCAATATTTATAATTGAAAATTCACTATTTAATATTTAGTATTTAATATTCTGTATTCAATAAGCAGTATTTAATATTCAATATTTAGAATTCCAAATTCAATATCCAGTACTCAATATGCAGTATTTATTATTCTGTATTTAACAGTCTGCATTTATTATTCAATATTTGCTATTCAATAGTAAATATTCAATGTTCAGAATTCAATATTCAATAATTAAAATTGAATATTCAAAATTCAGTATTTAATATTCAATATTAAGTATTCAATGATGAATATTTAATAATAAGTATTTAATAATGAATATTCAATATTTAGAATCCAATACTCAGTATTTAATATTGAATATTTAGTATTCAATATTTAATATTTAAAATTGAATATTTTGAATTCAGTATTGAATATTTAGCATTCAATATTTATTATTTAATATTCTGTATAAAATAGTCAGTATTTAATGTTGAATATTTATTATTCAATAGTGAATATTCTGTATTCGGTATTCAATATTTATAATTGAATATTCAAAATTCAATATTGAATATTTAGAATTGAATATTTTAAATTCAGTATTGAATGTTTAGTATTTAATATTCAGTATTTAATATTCTGTATTCAATAGTCAGTATTTAATGTTGAATATTCTGTATTCAATATTTATAATTGAATATTCAAAATTTAGTATTGAATATGGATAATTGAATATTTAAAATTCAGTATTTAATAGTCAGTATTCAATATTCATTATTCAATATTTTGAATTGAATATTTAAAATTCAGTATTTAATGTTGTGTATTCAATGCTCAGTACTTAATATTGAATATTTAGTATTTAATATTTAATATTTAGAATTTAATATTTTAAATTCAGTATTGAATATTTAGCATTCAATATTCATTATTTAGAATTCTGTATTCAATAGTCAGTATTCAATGTTGAATATTTAGTATTCAATAGTGAATATTCTGTATTCAGTATTCAATATTTAGAATTAAATATTTTAAATTTAGTATTAAATGTTTAGTATTCAATATTCTGTATTCAATAGTCAGTATTCAATATTCAATAACAATAAAATAATTAATAATAATAATTGAATAATGATTCAATATTCTGAATTGAATATTGAAATTTCTGTATTTAATGTTCTGTATTCAATAATCAGTATTTAATATTAAATTATTTAGTATTTAACATTGAATATTTAGAATTGAATATCTCAATATTGAATATTGAAGTTGCAGTATAAAATATTAATTTCCTAATATTCAAAATTCAATCCTCGATACCAAATATTCAGTACTCAAATACTGAATACCCATTAAAATAATTAAAATATTTCTTAAAATAAATTAATTATCTGCGAACTCTAATTTCCCTATCATTGATGTTATCAACAGTGGAAAATTTTAATCAAATCCACCCAAGTTTTACCAAATTTTTAACGAAAATCCAAATGAAATCCAAGAAATCACTTTAATGCAAATAAACCACATTCACTATCATTCACTGATTGGAAAAAGAAATTTCCAATTCTAACACAAAAAAAAATTTGCCACAAACTCCCTTGTAGACCGTGAGTCCCTGATTCACTTTCGTTTTTATCGCGCAACAATTATTGTCTTATTCACTCTTTTTTTCAAAGAATAAAATTTTCTTTTTTTCATTAAATGGTCTTTTTTGTTTGTTTGCTTGTTTGTTAAGGATCACACAAACCAGAGGATCATTGGTGATGATAATGGCAGGCAGGTGTCGGCTTTTCACGATTTAATGCAATAACGATATTGTGTATAATGAGATGTGAAAAATGCGAGGTGTAATTTTTTTTTTTAAATTGAAAAACGATTTTTTTTTTTTTTTTGAGCTTTGATGAATAAACTTTGAAAAAAAAGTGACTTGCAAACAACTAATTCGATGACGCACCGCGTTCATCCGGGCTGGATGGTCGCCCGTCTCAAAGTGAATGTCTTATTAGTTATTTCTGTCCAAAGATACTCCTTCCACTTCGAAGCGCATCTTATTTTTCACGACTTCCTTTAATTTTCCATTAAACACTCTAGGTTTCTAAAGTCGGATATTCAGGGCTTTAATTTTCTTGGATTTTCTGGGCGCAAAATGGATCATTTTTATGTCCCTAAAGTTTTCTGAACGTATTGAAATTAATGAATGAAATTTATTTATTTTCGAATAAATAATTTTTTTAAAATGTTTTTTAATGTTTTTTGAGACTTTGAAGAGGAAATCATTTAGATTTTGAAACGCTGGAGTAAAGTAATTTTTAAAAATTAATTGTCCAAATGTTTTCGTTTATTTTCCTTCATCTTTAATTTTTTTTCAATAATATTACGTTACGTATCAAAAATTATTTTTCTTTCGAAATATTTTATTCGTTTTTTAATTGAAAATATTTCTCGGAAATTTTGCGGAAAATTAATTTTATTCAAATTTTAGGAAAATAATTAAAAGAGGAAAATTTTTTCTTGGTAGTAATTTATCAGAAAAGTTAATTGGTTTCTTTTTTTTGGTATATGTCAAGATTTAAAAATGCATTATTTGAGAAATGTTCTTTAAGCCTCAAGGAGGAAAACGTATTTTATATATATATATATATGGATTACGAAGGGAAAACTCGTTTCGAAATTCCAGTGCAAACCGCATCCTTCGATGTAAATCGAATCAAAGTCGATGCGAAACGAGACAGAAAAGATCGGCTTCCAAAAGCTTTTTTGTAAATTCAATCGGACCATGAATTTAATCGTAATTCATGAATTATTATGTAAAATAGCGCTTATTTTTGAGTAAATAAATAAAATAAATAAAATAAATAAAAAATAAGAGTCAATTTTTTCTATTTTTATTCTTCGTCTTTGATGATCAAATTATGATTTTTATTTTTTGACTTATTTCAATTATCGTAGAAGTTTTTTCTTGATTTGACTAGAGAAAAAACTACTTAAAAATAATTGTCTGACTAAGAACTTTTTTCTACTTCAAATATTTAATTTGTCTTACCAAAAAATACTGTTTCTACTTCAAATATTTAGTTTGTCTTACCAAAAAATACTGTTTCTACTTAAAAATATAATTTTTTTCAATTAAGAAGGATTTTATACTTAAAAATATTTTATTCTTTCATTGTAAAAGTTTTCTACTAAAAAATATAACTATTTCTGACTTAAAAACTGTTTCTACTTAAAAACATTACTTTGACTCACTAAAAGGTTAAAGACTTTATACTTGAAAATATTGCATTCTTACAGTAAAAGATGTTCCCACTTGAAAATATTGCTGTCTGACTAAAAAATATAATTTCTACTAAAAAAAAAGAATTTCTACTTAAAAATGCAAATTTTTGTCCTAAAAACAGTTTCTACCTGTAAATACTTAAATAGTATTTTGTTTAAATGAAAATGGTTTTTCTACTAGAAAATATTATTCTGTCTGACTAAAAACATTTTTCTACTTAAAATATTAACATGTCTGACTAAAAAAAATTTTTCTCCTTAAAAGATTAACATGTCTGACTAAAAAAAATTTTTCTCCTTAAAAGATTAACATGTCTGACTAAAAAAAAATTTTCTACTTAAAAATACAACTTTTTTTTTGCATAAAAACATTGTTTCTACATACAAATAGTATTTTGTATAAATAAAAATGGTTTTTCTTCAAGAAAATATTATTTTGTCTGACTTAAAAAAATATTTCTACTAAAATATTAACCCGTCTGACTAAACAATATATTTCTACTTAAAAATATTAATTTCTCTGATTAAAAATTGTTAATAAAATATTTGTCCTTATAAATATTAGCTTGTCTCACTCAAATGATTTTCCTACTAGCAAATTTCTTCTATGGAAAATTTTTCTTCTTGAAAATATTATTCTTTTTGACTAAAAAAAATGGTTTCTACTTAAAAATATTATTTTATCCGATTAGAAAAGTTTTTGAACTTAAAAATATTATTTTATCTGACTAGAAAAATATTTTTACTTAAAAGTATTGCTCTGTGTGCCTAAAAAATTATTTTTTACTTAAAAATATTACTTTCTCTACTTAAATAGATTTCATCTACTTAGAAAAAAAGGATTATTTCTTTTGATAAAAAAATTTTCTACTTAATAATATTGCTCTGTCTTAATGAGAGACTTTTTCTACTCAAAAGTCTTACTTTTTCTGGTTATAAGAGAATTTTTCTACTGGAGAAAAAATTTTGCATGAAAGAGAAATTTTTTCTACTTAAAAATATTACTCTGTCTTACTGTGACAAGATTTTTCTACTTAAAAATATTTCACTGTGTGGCTGTAAATTTTTTTCTACTTCAAATCAAAACTTCTTTTTTTAAAATAAAAAATCACTTTTTACCGACGTTGTCGGTAGGTAAAGTTATCGATTTTTCTACTTGAAAATGTAATTTTTATTCGTTGGAAATTTTTTTTTAGATTTAAACATTATTTTATCTTGCTGTGAATCTTTTTCTATTAAATAAACCTTAGATTATCTCGATCTGAAGCTTTTTATAATTTAAAACTTTCCCTTAACTGTCTCGAAAGCTTTTTCTACCTAGAAACATTACTTTCTTTCTCTAGAGCTTTCTACACTTAAAAATGTTTCTGTAATTGTCTCTAAAGCTTTTTCTACTTAAAAGAGATACTTTATCTGCCTCGGATTTTTTTCTACTTAAAAATATTATTTTGCCTGGCTTTAAAGCTGTTTCTACTTAAATATATTAGTTTATCTCGATCTGAAGATTTTTTTAATTAAAAACTACTTTAATTGTCTCGAAAGCTTTTTCTATACAGAAACAATACTTTATCTGTCTCTAGAGCTTTCTCTGATAGAAAACATTAGATTTTCTGTCCAGGGAGCGTTTTCTACTTACAAACATTCTTTACCTGTCTCTAGAGCTTTTTCAACTTAAAAACATTATATTGTCTGGCTCTGAAGCTTTTTCTAGTTATAAATATTACACTGACAATCAGTGCTGTTTTTTGTACGTAAAAGCATAATTTTAACTGAAATTTAAACATTTTCTACTAAACATTACAACTTTATTTTTCTAAGGATTCTATTTTATTTTTTATAATCAAATGTCTGACTGTAAAAAGCTTTTTCTACTTAAAAGTCATAATTCGTCCGTCTGACCATATTTTCTACTGGAAATCGCAATTTTTATCTGTTTGATAATGTTTCTTAAAAATATTTCATTTGTCCAACTAAAAAGTATTTTTTTTTCTAAGTAACAAAAATCTTTTTATAAAAGAATTTTGTAAAGCAGAAAATATTTTTTTACATAAAAAAGAAATACGAAAAATAGCTCAAAATCATTTTCTCAAGTAACAATTTTTCTCCCTTTTTTTTCTCAAAGAAATAACTTCAATCAGAAATTGTCTCGAAACAACTACCTTAAGCTGAAAATTGAGACATTGATTCGATTCGCAGTCTCATATTACATTTGAGTTTTCATTCACGCGTCAAGAACGGTTTTTCGGTCCTCACTCTCTTTCCACTTTTCTCTCTTGCTTTTCGATCACTTATCAAACGAACGATAATGGACTCATTCTTTTTCTCTCTTTTTTTCGACAGATCTATTTTTCTCGATTATGGCTTTTGAGAGAAAATTACTCTCTCCCCCACTCTCGCAGTTAGACACTAAATTGGTTTTGATCGAGAGACACTCGAGTTTTCAAAAGTTAAAGAGGATTTGAAAATTTACTTGTTTTTTTTTCTTTTCTTTTTTTTTCTCTTCTTTATTCTGCCAAACGATTCGATATTGTTACTTTACTCTTGTTAAAATGTGATTTCACTCAACCCAGAGGGAATGATACGTTCAGAAAAATTTCTCTAGGAAAGAAATTCTTTTTCTGTCAATTCCATTGGGATTTTGTTAGTGGGTGTGTGTTCAATATATGTGCAGGATATATATTCGAAATAAGAACAAATGTTGAAAAATATTTTTACATATATGAATTCGCTGACACTCGAAAAAATAAAAAAATAATAATAATAAAATATTTATTTAAAAATAGAAAAGCAAAAAAAGTAATAATAATTAAAAATAAATAACAATAGTAATGCTGCTACTATAAGTAAAGAAAAATAGAAAAATAATAAAAATAAAAATATCAAAAATGTAATGAAAATAAAAAATTAGAAACTAAAAAAAGAAGAAATTAAATTTTCTTAACGTTTTGACATAATATTAAAAAAAATTACAATAGTATTAATTATTAAAAGTTAAACCACTGAATTCATTTTAATAATTTTTTGGAAAAAAAGAAGTAAAGACAAGGGTACCCGAAAAATATTGACACTTCACTGAAAATCTATTTTAAATGATAGTTCGTACTCGACGGTTTATTAATAGAGTCGGACAAGAACAAGACAGACTCTTGTTTTATTCGTGTGAAAGATCGGTTCATTTTCAAACTTTTCAATTTTTATTTTTATTTTATTTTTCTTCACTTCTCTTTATTTCTCTATATTTATTTTTTGTGTTTTTTCCAACTCAATTGGAATTTTTATTTTTTTGCAATAGAATTTTCAAATCAATTAAATTTTTCGCTTTTTTTTTCTTTTTGAAATTATTTTTACTCTACTGGCAATAACTACTATATATATATACTTCTCATGATTAACTTGACAGTCAATGTTCTCTAGTGGTAAACCACATTCGCCAAAGTGCGATTCGCGTCAAGTATAATTGCGGTCCAATGATAGTTTATTGGCAGAATTGTCTAAATAAACATGATTTCATTTATTTAGTCCTGACAATCTTGCGGGCAAATTAATAAAAATCAGTGCGAAATACACAAGATTTTGTGATAGAAATAAATGATCAAGCAGAAAATGTAGAGGCTCCAAAAAATGTAATAATTGAAAACGAGACATTTTCTTGGCGCTGAGAATTATCTTTTTAATTTATGATAAATTTATCAGTTGAAAAATTGTGCCAAGATTGAAAAATTTGACATGCAGATAAAATTATATGGACGACTGATATTAATTTTTATGCTTTTTTTTCTTTAATATTTTTAATTGTTAATTAAAACAAAAATTTAGTTTTTAGTCACGAGAAATTATTTTTCAAACCATTTTTAATTACTTTTTTAATTACTTCTTTAATTACTTCTTTAATTACTTATCGATTAAATTTCAATATTTTTAAAATTTTTCTATAGAATTTTGAACTCATCCTAATTCTTAATTACTCACAATTTATTTATTCACCAGCATTGTCTTTTAATTCAGGCACTTAGAAAAAATTTCCATTTTCCAAATTTTTATTTTTTCTAGAAAAAAAAAATCGGATTTTTTTTGGCTAAAAACCAGAGTTTAAAATTAAAATCAATTACTACTTAAACAAGTTGACATGGTCTGTTTGAAAATAATTACTCCACTTTAAAATTAGATTTCATTTAATTGACACTCTTTTCAAGTCAAATATCAGACTTTTGTCAGATTTAAAAGTATTTTACTATTTAAAAATTAAAGTATATTATTTCGTTTGACGAAAAAAAGATTTTCAACTTAAAATAATAATCTGACAAAAATAAAACGGATTTTCTCGTACTTGACAATTTTTTTCTACTTAAATAATATTTTTCTACTTTGACTAATTGGGGAAAATTTTTTTATGGGAAAATATAATTTCCCAGGGCTAAAAATAATTGTTTGGAAAGTTTAGCGAAATTTGTACAAAAATTGTTAAACCGTAATCTTTTTCCAATTTTTAATTTTTTTTCTCATTCGCAAGAATTTTCAACATAAAAATTTATTTTTGTCCAAGTGAAAAACTTCTTCAGCACTTAAAATTTTTTACCCTGACTTAGAATTCAAAATTATGAAACGATAATAATAAAATAAAAATATAATTTGAAGCGAAATTAAATAAAATGATAATTCAATAAGTTGATTAATTGTTATTAACAATTTTAGTCTAATTAGTCATTTTTCAAAGTTATCGAATTTACATAATTAGAAAGTAATAATTCTAATAATAATTAGAATAATTTTTACAGTAATTTTATTAATTTTATTAATAATATATATTAATATGAAATTAATATAAAAATTAAAAACTTATTTAAAAATAATTGAATTTAAATAATTTGATAATAATAAATAAATAATACTTTTTTTTGTCGATCAACTATGGATTTTTCATTTCTCATGAAAAATAGTGACATTAAATTAAAGAATTGAGAAAAAAATTTTGCTATTTAAATTTAAAATAAGAATAATGATTGTAGTTTTTGATTTTAATCGACGATAAGTATTTCGATTAAAGAGAGAAAAAGAGAGTTGACGGGATCGATTAACAATGATATAGTATTCTTTGTGCAGGAAATCGAGACGGAAACAAGTAGAAGAAACGATGAACGTGAGGAAAGAAGAAAAAAAAGGGGCGACAAAATAACTTTGACAGTCTCAGAGGAGAAAATTGGGATCAAGTTCGTTCAACCAAATATGTAAGTCGAAATTTTCTTCACTTTTCAAAGATAAACGCAAAATAGAATGTCACTCATTTCCATAAAAGGGAAAGAAAAAGAATACATATACAAAAAAAGAATACCGAAAAATACAAAAATATACAAAAAAAAATAATACGAAAAATAGAAAAATTTTAAAAAGTAAAAAAAAGTATCAAAAAATACAAAAAAGAATACAGAAAACACAAAAAAATACTAGAAATACAAAAAAATACAATAAATGCAAAAAAATACAACAAAAATAGAAAAAAGTAGAAAAAAATACGAAAAAATTGCAAAAAAAAATTTAAAAAGAATAGAGAGAAATCGAAAAAACATAGAAAAGTATTTGAAAAGAAATTCCAAAAGCAATTTGAATTCTATCAAACATGATTGCGATAAAGAAAAAGAAAACAGTTTCAAATGTTGTTGATTAAAAGTGTTACCTTTCGATAAACTGACTCCATTCTTCCACGTTACTGACACCTTCAATTTTAATTGTTTATCTTCTCCCCTTTCATTCATCACTGAAAAATAAAATTTTTCTCTAATTTAAAAAATTTAAAAAAATATTCTCCACTGCAACTACATTTTGTTTTTTTTTTTTGAAGAATTTGTATTATTTGTTTAAAATTAAATATTAAATTCACTAAATAAATAAATTTATTTTCTCTACAAAGTAAATTTCAAAATTAGATAAATTACTTCAATAAATAATTTATTTTTAATAATAATTCAACAGCTATTCTATAAATACGTTTTTATCAAAAATATTAAATATTAATTAAAAAATAAATAAATAAAAATATTAAACATCAAAAGTATTAAATTTAAAATAAGGGAAATAAATATTTTTATAAATGAATTTTTCAAGAATTTAATAATAAAATTTCAATAAATTTGTTCGTAAAAAAATGTTAACAAATTTTTTCTTATTTATTATTATTTATAACAAATGAATAATTTGTTTCAAAGTAAATTGCAAACGGAAGTAAATAAACATTTTTATAAATGTTTATTTATAAAAATAAACTATTTATTAGTTTTTTTTATTAAAAAAATTGATTGATTTTTATCACTTGACATTCGAAAATTGTAATTAATACAAATATTTTCTTTACGCCTACAAGTTGGGAATTTAATATAATAATAATATTTCGTCTTGGAAGATCTCACTTAAAATAGTTTGACGATCGTCTATTGATAATTTTAGTCCAAGGTGTAGGTTGAATGACGCAAGGACGAACAAGGAATGTTAAAAACAGAAAAGAAATTTCACAATAATTTACTAGAATTTGAAAATATTTATTATTTTGTCTCTAATTTCTTTCTATAAATTAAAATATACAGTGAAAAATTAATATTTATATCTGTATTTTATCATAGAAATTAATATAATAGTAAAATTTGTAATTAATATAATTAATAAATATAATAAATATAATTAATATAATTAATATAATTAATTAATTAATTACCTAATTAATTATGAATTAAATTTTTTTATAATTTATTTATTATAAAAATAAATATTCATACCAAATGTTTATTAATAATTAAATAATTATTATCAAATGATTAATTTTTCTCTCAATTAAATTGTCTATTCTTTTTTTGGAAAAGATTTGAAATTTATTTTGTGGCAGAGAAATCATTGAGTCGATGGATCGATTAATTGCGGTGCCATCGGAAAAAATTCGCGTTTGGGGCTGTTGGCTTTTGATGGTGGGAGATGAGATTTATGAATGGCGACATTGGCTTCTTTCTCATATTAATCTCATTCTAAGAATGAACGAAATTATGCGAAAAATTCAACAAATCGATCAAGATGCAAAAGACGGGGAAAAAATATCAATTCAAGTAAATTTATTATATTTTCCTCCCATTTTGAAAGTGAATTCAAAAATTTTAATTAATCAATACCTAAAGATAATTACAAAAAAAATTCAATTTATCCCAATAAAAATTAGAAATAAAAAATAAAAAAAAGAAATAGAAAATACAATTTAAAAATAAACAAAAATTTACAAGTAAAAAAAAATCTTTTTTTTCCTAAATAGAAAAAAATTAATTATGGTAATTAATTGTTTAAAGAACTAAAAGAATTAAATTAAAAGAAACAAAATTAAATTAAATTAACAATAATATTTATAATATTTTATTTTAACAATTTTTGTCGAAGAAAGCGCCATCAGAGGAAAAAAAAGAACCAATTAATAATGAAAAAATTGATATTCAAACCACTGGAGGTAAAAATTATTAATTTTTAATAAAAAATTTAATTAACAAAAGAATGAAATGAATCTCAATAAGAGTGCTAAATATTGTAAAGTTTAACATTTAACTTTGAACTCTATCAAATATTAGATGGAGATAAATCACTTTCGGAAGAAACGATATTTGTGACAGCCGCAGAAAACAGTGAAGGTAAATTTTTTAATCGCACCTTCAGACATTGTAAGGACAATTCAATGAAATTTATAAATAGCCATCGATTGGAATTTAAATTTTAATTTCTTCCAGAGGAAGTTGAAGAGGACGATATACAAAATGCTAGACCAAAAATAGAAGGTAATTGAAAATTAATATAAAAAAAGTCCTTTCTCGTAATTTTGAGAAATAACATTGAAAGTGAATTTTAGACTTAAAATTTTTTTAACTGAAGCAGGAAAAATTTCTGTGCACCACTTATTGAGAATCGACGAGCCGCTAATTGTCGAAGATAATAAATAAAGTCTTGGGGTTAGTATAAATTAACCACAGAAATGGGGTTATAAGCAAATATCTTGATGCAATCGCGTAACAAAACGATTTTATTCATTTTCTCTATTTTTTCAAAATACTTTTATGTTATTGGAATAATATTTTCAGTTATTAATATTATAATAATTACTATAAGATAAGAAATTACTGCTGTCACAAAATATTTTATTTTTAATTAACAAATTCAATATTTGAATAATTTCAGACTGAAAATTATTACAATAATATAAATAAGAACATTTTATTAACAAGAAAGATATTTTTTAAAATTAAAAAAATTACTTATTAGCTAATTGACTAATTAACTTGCTAAAGATTATTATTTATTATTTTCAAAAATTTTAATTAAATTCTTCTAAATAATTCAATAATTTTCGCAAATCATAAAATTCTTCACAAGAATTCAATTATTTTCAAACAATTTTTTAGAAATTCTTCTGAAAAATTCAATTATTGTGAAAAGTTTGAATAAAATTTTTCAGTAGCAATTCAATTATTTTCGCAAAAAATGAAATTCCTCGCAAGGCTTCAATTGTTTTTATAAATTAATAAAATTGTTTACAGAAATTCAATTATTATTAAAAATTTTAAGACAATTTTTCTGAAAAATTTAATTATTCTCAAAAATTTTAATAAATTTCTTCGAAAGAATTGATTTTTTTTTCAAAAAATGTAAAAAAAAAATTTTTTTCTAAAAAATTTATTTATTTTTTACAATTTTAATAAAGTCTCAAAAATATTTAAGTATTTTCAAAAATTTAGATACATTTTTTTATAAGAATTCAATTATGTCTAGAAAATAATAAACTTCTGATTGAGAATTTAATTATTTTTATAAATAATAGAAATGCTCGCAGGAATTCAATTATTTTCAAGAATTTTAAAAAAATTTTTGTAAGAAATTCAATTACTGTAAAAAAATTTTTAAAAAAATTCTTCTCAGAAATTCAATTATTTTTACAACAAAAAAAAAATAATTTTTTGCATGAATTTAATAATTATCAAAAATCCTAATAGAATTCTTCGCAGGAATTCAATTATTAGAGAATTTTAATAAATTTTGTTAAAACAACACAATTGGTTTTACAAATAATATAAATCTTTACAGGAATTTAATTATTTTTAAAAATTTTAATAGAATTCTTCCCAAAAATTTAATAATTTTTAAAATTTTCATAAATTCTTTAAAATAATTCGCATTCAACTTTAGAAATAATAAAAATCTTTCCAGGAATTCAATGTTTTTTCAATATTATGGTAATTGCTTTAAAAAAATTTAATTAATTTCAGAAATAAAAAAGAATTCATATTAGGAATTCAATTTTTTTTTAAAATTCTATAAAGATTCTTCTGAGAAATCCAATTATTGTCAAAAATTGTAATAAACTTTTTCGCAAAAATTCAATTATTTTTAATATTTTGATAAATTCTATGAAACAATTCAATTTATCTCAGAAGTAAAAGAATTCTTATCAGGAATCCAATTCAATTTAAAACTGACGAAAATTCCATTCCATATTTTTTATTTTTCAATAATTGAATTCCTGAGAATTTTTTATTATTCCTGAAAATAATTTAATTCTTACGAAGATTTATATATAAAATTTTTCTTTAATAATTGAATTCTGTTTGGAAATTTAGGAAAATATTAGATATTGAAAATCAATGATATTGGAAAAGTATTTAAAAATAATTAAATTTTACAAACAATTCTACTAAAATTATTAAAATTTTTTGAAAATAATTGAATTCCTAAAAAGTATTTTATTATTTATGAAAATAATTGAATTCTTGCGAACGATTTCATTAGATTTTTTTTAAATAATTGAATTTCCTATAAGAAATTTATTACTTTAAAAAATAATTGAATTCTTGTGATGAATATTGTTATTTATGAAAATAATTGAATTTTACAAAAAATTTTATCAAAATCCTTTAAAATAATTGAATTTTCGAGAATAATTTTGTTATTTATCTTTAACAGTTGAATTCTTTAGAAGAATTATTTATGTAAATAATTGAATTCTTCCAAAGAATTTAAAAAAAAACATTTTTTTAAATAATTTCTTTTTTCGAGGAACTAAAATTAAATTTTTAAGAATAATTTATTTTTTTGAACAATTCCTGTAAAATGGTTTTATTTTATTAAAAATAATTGAATTCTTGTGATGAATATTGTTATTTATGAAAATAATTGAATTTTATTAAAATGCCTCAAAATAATGTAATTTTCAGGAATAATTTTGTTATGGAAATAATTGAATTACTGCAAGAAAATTTTATTAAAATGTTTAAAAAGAATTGAATTTCTGTGAAAAATTTTGTTATTTTTGAAAATAATTAAATTCTTTTTAAGAATTTTTTAAACATTGTTTTAAGTACCTAATTAATTTTGTCGAAATATAATAAACATTATGGAAATTTTATTTTAAATAATTGAATTCTTGTGGAAAACTTTATTTGTGAAAATAATTGAATTTTTCAATTAATTAATTTAAATTAGTATTAAGAATAATTGAAATTCTTCAATGAGCTTTATTTTTCATGAAAATAATTGTATTTTGGATGAATTTTATCAATTTTTTTTCTAAAATTTTATGAAAATACTAAGAATTGTTATTGTCAAAAATTAAAAAAAAATTATTTTCTGAAATAACAAAATTCTTCGCATCAGTTCAATTAATTTCGTAAATAATGAAATTCCTTATAAGAATAATTATTTAAATTTACTTAAGAGAAAAGTTTTTCTCTTAATAAATGCGTACAATTTGTACTTGTATTTTTTTTAAACCGATGTATTTTTTTGTGTGGAAAATTTATTTGTATATAGGGAAATATATCGACGTCCTCATAGATTGCAGTGAGCAATGCTTAACTCGTTTGTCCTCTCTCTCACTCTCTTTCTCTCTCTATCGAATGGTGATTAATCAATTTAGGAGAATCGAGCTAGCAAATGGAAGATTCCACAAACCACCGTAAATCCTATACGCTCAACTGTAGCCAGCAATCTACAGATCTACGCCTGAATATCGCAACTGTTGCTAGCAGCTTTTCTCCATTAGAGGCGTGAAAGATTCATTTCATTATCATCCAATTTAACCTGATGGTCATTTAAAATTTTTTACCGTCTCTCGCACTCAATGTAAAGGCTTTTAATTCATTTCTTTTTTCCTTTCCCACCACTTTTTCTATCTACAAAAAATCAATATTCACTTGACTTTTATTGCAGCACGAAAACTTTAATCTGTTATTATTTCCAATTAATTTTTTTTCCTTTCTTAATTTTATTATTTATTTATTTCTTATTTCGAATTTTAAATTAATTGTCATTATAATTTTTCCATAAAAATTAAGATTTTCAAAACATTCAAATTCAAACCTTTTTGAAATTAAACAACTTATAGAAAATTTTTATAAAACATGACCGACTGATAAAATCATTATTTTACATTACAAGAATTTTGTTACTGTAACTTATTTAAAATTACATTCTTTACTTCAATTCAATTATTGTTTTCCAGAATTTTTCACTAAAATTCTTCTTTAAATTAATTATTCATTTATTTTTAATAATTTTTTAAAAATTTCTTTGAAAATTTTCAAATTCTTTTGTTTACAATTTAATTTCACGAAAGTTCATCGATTATTCGGAAAATCTTCAATCAAATATATATATTAGAAAATAAAAACTTCAAATAACTTCAAAAAAATTCAATTAAACTTTTTAAAAAAAATTAAATCTACAAAATTTTCAGTTAAAAGTATGAAAAATTAATACATTCAAAAATTATAATTTTAAATCTTTTCAAAATTTAATTATTTCTAAAAATTCACGCTGTAATACTTTCTCTATAAATTTTAATTAGTAAAAATTATTTTGCTTTTGAATTAGTAAATTTTACTATTCAATTAGTAGAAATTATTATTTATTAGTAAAATTTGCTAATTCAAAAGCAGAATGCCAGTCAGTAATTCAAATTACAAAACATTTTGACTAATTTAAATTTAGAGTTTAATATTCAATTAGGTATTACCTGAAATTTTAACTGAAACTCATTTTTAAATTAATTTTTTTTATTAGAAAATTCTACTAGAATTCAATTATTCAAATACAAAAATAAATAATATACTGAAGAATTGAATTTTTTTAAAAATTGAACTCTCATGAAGAATTTTATCAACAAATTTTCAAATAATTGAATTCTATCAACGAATTTTAATAAAACTTTTAAGAATAATTTTTATTTTTCGAGAAATTAGATTAAAATTGTATTAAAAATAATTCAATGATTGAATTGAGATAAGTTTTTGAAAATAATTGAAATTTTGCCAAGAATATTATTAGAATTTTTGAAAATAATTGAATTTTGGAGAAAAATTTTATTATTTATAAAGATAATTGAAATTTTGACGATTATTTTTTTAATCTTTTGACCATAAATGAATTTGTGCGAAAAATTTTATTACTTTTGAAAATAATTGAATTCTTGAGACAAATTTTTTAGTAATATTTTTTTTAAAGAATTTATTCTTTTGTGAAAATTTATTGAAACTAGTAAATACTGAAAATAATTGAATTTTGATAAATTATTGAAATTAAAAAATTTTCTACAAAGAATTTTATTGAAATTATTTTGAAAAGAAATTGAATTGTTAAAACGAATGCGAAAAATTTTATTACTTTTGAAAATAATTGAATTCTTGAGACGAATTTTTTAATAATATTTCTTCTTAAATACCTATTTGAATTCTTTGGTGAAATTTTTAGTAGATATTGAAAATAATTGAATTTTGATAAATTATTGAAATTAATTAGTTTTCTACGAAGAATTTTATTAAAATTTTTGAAAATAATTGGATTTTGGAGAAAAATTTTATTATTTATAAAGATAATTTAAATTTTGACGATTATTTTTTTAATCTTTTGACCATAATTGAATTTCTGTGAAGAATTTCATTACATTTGAAAATAATTGAATTCTTGAGACGCATTTTTTAATAATATTTTATTTAAGAATTTTATTAAAATTATTTTGAAAAAAAATTGAATTGTTGAAAAGAATTTCATTAAAATTTTTTTAAATAATTTAATTCTTTCAAGAAATTTAATTAACAATGTATTGACAATAATACTTAAATTCTAATAAATAAATTATAGGCAGGCTTTTTAAAATAATTAAATTTCTTTGATGAATTTTAATACAATTTTGAAGAATAATTACATTTTTTGAGAAATTTCATTAAAATTTGTATGAAAAATAATTGAAATTCTCCGCTGAATTTTATTATTTATGAAAATAATTAAATCCCCGTAAAAAAATTTATTTATGAAAAAATTGAATCTCTAAAAAATTTTGTTATTTATGAAAATAATTGAATTATTGCGAAGAAATTTATAAAGAATTTGTAAAAAATAGAATTGCTGTCAAATTTTTATTTTTTAAGTAATTCATTAAAAATTGAAATTTTACCAAATTTCAAATTACAACCATTTGAAGTTGATCTATTTATGAAAATTGTAAACGCAACTCTTTTAAAATTGAATTAATTTTGAAATATTAAAAAAAAACTAGATTTCAAGAATAAGTACAATAACTTTAGAAAACAGAAATTTTTGCAGGATTCCGATCAAAATTCCCCGACTTTTCCAGGTTTCTTCAAGGTTTATAAAATTCCCTGACATTTCCAGGTTTTCCAGGTGCCATCACGCATGATGGCAATCCTAAAATTAAAAATAATATATTGCCACTTTCTTAAAATATTCTATTTACATTTTTTTTTGAAAGATAAAATGTCTCTTTAGAACAAAAGGCTCCACATAGCCATTTTGGGGTACAAAGGAGTAAAAAAAAAAAAAATAATAAATGAAGTGTCGAAAAAAATTGGACATTTTTACGAGGCTCGAAAGAGAAAGTCGAAATAAATCAAGAAGAAACTTTTGCTCAACGAGCCACACACAGACATAAACTCAGACACTTTTTTTTTTGTAAACTCAATAATTCATGAAGCACATTGAAAAGTTTCGATAAATTTCTCAAAAGATATTTTTAACTTCTAAGGGAAAAAACAAATACAGAATTTTTAAAAAAGAAATTTCAGAAAATTTTCTCTACTCAATATACTCGTCCTGTAGTTTATCATGATAAAATATCTTAAATAAGAGAGTAAAAATGTGTGTGTGTGTCTTGAGAGAAGAGAGGAAGTGTATATTCTGAGGTAAAAGCATGAATATGAAGGAGGGGTTGATAGTCGATGAATTATTTCTGAAAGCTACTCAAGTGTTTCACACCGTGCCTTTTTCTCTATATCATGGTTTAAAGGTGAGGGGTGGGGGGAGATTTTTGCGTCGCACTTGGAAAACTTCCTTTCTCTCTCTCTCTCCCTCTGTCTCTCTCACTTACTCTTTCTGCTTCTCTCTTTCAGTTTCGACCAAGTGAATGTTCCATTAACAAACTTTCAGCTCAAGAAACCGCATGAGCGAGCAAGGAGCAATTTTCGAGTTAAGATTTTTCAACACCAGACACAAAGAATGAAACTCCCCGCAGGGAAATTTTCACATCCCACTCTCATCTTAACTTAGCTTTTCCGAAACTTTTTCATCCTACCGAATCCATAAAGAATTAGATTCTTCTTCTTCTTCTTCTTCTTTACCCTGCGTATCAAGAAAGCTTCCAAACAATTTAGACTGATATTTGTATTCTTTTGGAAAATAACAAAGTTTACTTTATTATATAACCATCAATATTCACTGTCACACACAATATTTCAGAAAATCTAATTTAACAAATAAGTGGATAGACTTTTCTTAATCAGGGGGAAAAAATTGCCTTTGAGTTGAAATAAGTTTTCTTGATACTTAGGTATTATGTAGCAAAATTTGATTAAATTAAATTTGTAGTAGAAAAAAATTTTTCTTTGAGAATTAAGAAATTATTGAGTAGGTAGAATTAACTATATTAATGTCCGTATTTTTTTATTCATTTTGTCCGCTCTCCGCAGTTTGAAATTAGTTTCTATGTGTGCCTTTTTTTTAAAAATATTGTTAGACAAATGGAAAATAAGATTTTTTTCACGATTTATAATAAAATAATAATACAAATTAGAAAATTTCAAAAAAAATTATGATTAACAAATAAAAAATATATTTTGTTAGTTGTTTTTTTTCTATAAGAAATTTCGTTTGACTGATGTAAATTATTATGCAAATTATTCTTCATTTTATTTATAGAAAATACTAAAAAATTGTTAATTGTTAAAAAATTTTTATTATGAAGTAGGAAATATACCCATTTTATGCATAATTTTTATTTCTCAATAACAATATTGTTTACACATTTTTTTTCTTTTGTGAAGAAAAACATTAGATATTCCCGTTTCTTAATATTTTTGTAGAAAATTCTCAAACATAAGAAAATAATTTGCATCAATTCTATTTCTTAATTTCAATTGTTTCAATAAAATTCAAAGTTTAGGAAAAATAAAGGAAAAAAATGTATATACATTATATTTGTCAATTAGAAAATTTAATTGAAAATGAAACTGAAAATTTTTGAATTTTTAGAAAATAAAGAAAAAATATTTGAAAAAATGTTCAGTTAAATTTAATTACCAATATCTTTAATTTTTAAATTATTTGAAAAAAGATTTTTAAAAATTTTAAATTCAAACCTTTTTGAAATTAATCAACTTAAAAAATATTTTTATAAAACATGAAGAAATGGAGTTTAAAATAAAAAAAAAAAATAAAAAAAATATATAAATATTATTATATATATTATAAGAATATTGTTACTGTAACTTCTTAAAAATTATTTTCATATTTTATTATTATCTAAAATTTAAACTAAAATTCATTTTTAAATCAATTTTTATTAGAAAATTCAACGAAAATTCAATTATTTAAATACAAACGTAAATTATTTATTCAAAAATTAAATTTTTCTTAAATGTAATTTTTATGAAGAATTTTATTAACAAATTTTTTAAATAATTGAATTCTTTTGACGAATTTTAATAAAATTTTTTAGAATAGTTACATTTTTCATGGAATTCGATTAAAATTGTATTAAAATTAATTAAAATTATGCGATGAGTTTTATTATTTCTAAAAATAATTAAAATATTCAGAAAAGAAAATTATAAAAAATTTATAAATAATTGATTTTTCGTGAAATTTGTATTATTTATAAAAATAATTGAATTATTGCGAAGAAATGTAATATTTTTGAAAGTAATTGAATTTTTGAATAGAATTTTATTAAAGTTTTTGAAAATAATTGAATTTTTAAGAAAAGTTTTATTATTTTAATATTCTATTATTATCTTAAATTTTACTAAAATGAATGTTTCTTAAAATTGAATTCTCATAAAGAAGTTTATCAACAAATTTTTAAATAATTGAATTCTTTTGACGAATTTAAAATTTTTAATACAATTTTTTAGAATAGTTACTTTTTTCAAGGAATTCGATTAAAATTGTATTAAAAATAATTGAAATTCGGCGATGAGTTTTATTATTTCTGAAAATAATTGAATTCCTGTGAAATTTTTATTATTTATGAAAATAATTAAATGTTTGCGTACAATTTTATTAATTTTTTTTTTTAAATAATTGAATTCAATTGGGTAATTTTATTAAAATAGTAGATATTGAAAATCATTGAAATGAAAAAATTTTTTGAAAATAATTGAAATTTTGACAAGAATTTTATTTAAATTTTTGAAAATAATTGAATTTTAAAGAATTTTTTTATTTATAAAGATAATAATTGGGATTTTCTAAAGATATTTTTGTAAATTTTGAACACAAATGAATTTTGTGATATGAATTTTAGAAGATTTTGAATTATTAAAATTTTCCAAAAATCTAAGATCATTAGAATTTCTAATTAAATTTATTTAACATTAAAGTTTTAGAAAATACCTATCAAATTAAAACTGTTTGAAGTTAATTTATTTTTGAAAATTGTAAACGCAACTGTTTAAAAATTAAATTAATTTTTAAATATGTGAGTAAAATTATTCATTAAATAATTTATTTATTTTATGATAGTTGTTCAATATTTAAGTTATTTAAAAATAAATTTTTGTCAGAAATTAAAAAAATTGAAGATTTTTCGAGTCAGATATTATTTTTAAGTAGAAAAAGAAAATAAGACTGAAAAGTAATTAATTTTTAAGTAGAAAATCTATTTTTGTCGGACAAAATAAATAAAGCTCTATGAAGTTACAGGAAAACAGTTTAAAGTATTGTATTGACAATAAAATTCTAACCTGAAAAATATTTAAAAAAATGTTTTTTTAAAATAAATATTTAAAAAAAAGTTAAAAACTAAAATTATGTTTAAAAATTCGAATTAACTTTCACTTTCTTGTTTCTAAAAATTAAATCTAATTAAAATGAATAATTACAGATAATCATAATTCCCCGGCTGAACAAGAGGTAAAATTAGCAGCAAATTCTAAATTGGAGGAGAATGCAAAATCAATTGAGCCAGACAGTCAAGAAGATACTACTCAGTTTAAGGAATTAACAGCGAATGGAGAACTGACATTGAATGCAAATTATGCGTCTCAAGATGCTGGCGAAAATATTGACGCCAAAGTGGGAGAGATGACTGAACAAATTGACAATGAAAAATCGGCGGTTGAAAATAAAGAAGAAAATATCTGGCCCATTGGGGTCGCGTTCAAACCATCTCTGAGAGAAAAAATGAAAAATGGAAGAGAGAAGAAAAAATCTAAAGCAGTCGAGGTAATTTATACGAACAATTTTTCGATGTTGACGAGAAATATTAAATTAATAAAATCGATTCGATTCGATCACTCTTCTCGAGTTGCCAACATTGGGCCAGTATTGGTTTAATAATTACCATTATTTATTACTATTATTATTAAATATTTTTTAATTTAATTTAATTTAATATTTTAATTATTATAATTATTATTATTATTAATTAGTATTTAGCATTGTCTGACTATAATAAGTCTGTACTACTTACAAGTTTTTTTCTACTTACACACCCAGAGAAAATTATTATTTAAACCAAATATATTTTATTTGAGTTAAATAAACGTATATTTGTCTCAGAACCAACTAGACTTTTTATTTGTTTTAAATAAAAATTTTATTCGATATAAATAAAACATATATTTGAGCCAAATAAAATTTTATTTAAACCAAATAAAATTTATTTGAAACAAAGAAAAAGTCTAGTTGGTTCTGAGACAAATATACCATTTCTCTGGGTGCAATTATTTATTATTATTAAATATTTTTTAATTGAATTTTATTATTATTATTAATTAGTATTTAGCATTGTCTGACTATAAGAAGGCTGTACTACTTATAATAATAATAAATAATAATAATTGGTAATAATTAATTTATTAATTTCTGATTACTTTATTATTTATTTATTATTAATTTATTATTAATTTCTTATTACTTTATTATTAATTTATTATTAATTTATTATTAATTTCTTATTACTTTATTATTAATTTATTATTAATTAATTATTAACAATTATTTATTAATTAATTTTATTTACTTTATGGGACTCGAATATTCGACAATCCGATTTTTTCTCCACCCTTCTCGTAGTCTTGGGGGTCAATATTGGCCCAAGCTTGTCAATAAAAAATGTAAGACCAATATTAAGTGAACCTTTGACAATTTCCTCACTCTGACTCGTATTTTCTTTTCTTTCTTTTTTGCTGGCACAGTTTTTTCGAATTCTCCTTTTTTTTCTCTTATTCATCGTTTCTTCCTTCTTCTCTTTTTTTTTATCTCGCAATAATTCTTTTGTTGCTCGCGAACCACTGAGCTTGTACAAGCAGTCTCAATTGAAGTTATCCATACCTCTTCCGCGCCAAAGAATTGCTGAGTCATTCGGTCGCTTCCCTCAATGTGCTATTAAATTTTCCAGTGGTTCTAATGTTCCATCGGCTCTCTCTCTACTCATATATAGAGTCTCTTCTTGAAGCAGCTTATTTTTCTACACGCTACAATTTCTCTTAGCTTCTTCATTTTTCTTACAATAAATTTCCATTTCTAATTCATGAGCTTTTGTGTGCTAGAGTTTTTTTTTCGTTTTTTGGTTTTTTTCTTTTTAGTGAAGCTATTTTGGTATAAAAAATTTATTCCACTAGTTGAAAAAATTGGGAGTTTAATTTTTGAGTGTAAATGATTTATTGTCGAGTGACTTAAAAAGCTTTTTATAGTGGAAAAAGTTACTTTATCAAAGCTTGAGCTTTTTTCACTAAAGCTTTTTTAAGTGAAACTTTTCACTGAGACGATTTTTTTTGTGCTGTGTGAATTTTTCATATTTATATCTAAAGTTTGTACTACTTGGAAGTTTTTAATTTTCTAACTCAGAGGTTTTTTTTAATAAAAAAATTCCTGGGTCTGACTATAAGAGGTTTATACTACTTGGAAGAATTCATTTGTCCAATTGGTGCTTTTTCTACTAAAAAATAGCTTTGTCTGCCTGTAACACGTTTGTACTACTTAGAAGCCGTTATTTATCCCAATGAATTTTTTTCTATTAAAAATAATGTTCTGCCTGACCATGTTAGAGACTTTTACTACTTAGAAATTAGAAGTATTACTCTATCCAACTTAAACTTCTTTCACTTAAAATTGTAGTGCCTGACAATAAGATGACCGTACTACTTAGAATTTTTTATTTGTCCAATTTAACAGATTTTTTTTGTTAAAAATATTTCATGGGTCTGACTATAACAGTATTGTACTACTTAAAAGTATTTATTTGTCAAACTGAAGCTTTTTCTACTAAAAATATACTTCTGTCTGATTATAACAGGTTTCTACTACTGAAAAGTATTTATTTGTTAAACTGAATATTTTTCTACTAAAAAATATGCATTTGTCTGACTAAAACAGTCTTGTACTACTTATAAGTGTTTTTGTCCCACTGCATCTTTTTCTATTAAAAATATTGCTCGGTCTGACTTAATATGAGACTTTTACTACTTAGAAGTTTTACTTCGACAGTTTAAAGGCTTTTCATCATAAAACTGTTGTTTTGTCTGACTATAAGAGGTATATACTACTTAAAAGCATTCCCCTTTTTTACTACCGATTTTCGCCATTAAAACTGTTGTATTGTCTGACTATAACAAAATTTTACTACTTAACAGTATTATTTATGCTTTCTAAAGGCTTTTCAACTCAAAAAGGTTGTTTTGTCTGACCATATGAGACTTGTACTACTGGAAAGTGTTACTTTGCCAGGCTTAAACTCCCTCTACTTAAAATTGTAGCATTGTCTGTCTATAAAGATGGTTGTACTACTTAGAAGTTCTACTTAAGCCTGTTAAAAGGTTTTTTATCATAAAAATGTTGTATTGTCTGACTGTAGTAGGTTCACACTACTAAGAACTGTAAATTGACGCTCGAAAATCTTCTCTTTTTAAAAATTTGTTCTTGTCTGACTATAAAAGATTTGAACTACTTAGAAGTGTTTTATTTTTTCATTACTGATTTTTATCATTGAAATTGTTATGTTGTCTGAGTAAAAAAAGTTTGGACTACTTAAAAGTGTGATTTATTCTTCTAAATGTTTTTCTTATTATTTTTTTTCTTAAAAATCTTTAAAAATGTTTTGTCTGAATATAAGAGGTTTTTACTACTAAAAATGTAGGTTTTTCCTACTGTAGCTATTTTTATTAAAAATTGTCGCATTGTTTGCCTATAGAAAGCATATATTACTTAAAATTGTATTGTCTGACTATAACAGAATTGCACTACTTACAAGTATTATTTTTGTAATAATACTACTACAAATTTTTTACACTTTTTCTACTATAAATGTTTGTTTTTCTGACCTAAAGACTTGTACTACTTAAATGAGTTACTTTATTCTATTGAAACTTTTTCTACTAAAAGAATATCATTGTCTGGCTATAACAGACTTGTACCACTTAGAAATATTTTTTTCTACTTAGAAGTGTTACTTAGTCCTACTGAAGTCTTCACACTTAAGAATATTGCATTGTCTGACTATTAGAAGCTTATACTACTTACAACTGTCATATAATCTACTTTAAATGATTTTCTACAAAAAAATGTCACTTTGTCTGACTATAAGGGGTTTGTACTACTTAAAAAAGTCACTTCTTTAAAAATGAACCTTCTTTACCTGAAAAATTATTTTGACAGACTGTACGAAGCTTTCACTACTTTGAAGTGTTAAGATAAAGCTTTTTCTACTTTAAAATGTTAAAGTATACTTTAAAGCTTTTTTTTGGTAAAAAAAATATTGCTTTCTATGACTAGGAAGCTTTTTCTTTTTAAAAACGTTGTTTTGTCTGACTATAAAAAGCTTGCACTACTTAGAAGTGTAACTTTCTCAGAGTATGAAATTTTTTCTACCTAAAATTATTGCTCTGCTCGACTGTGAATTTTTTCTACTGAAAAACTTGTTACTTAATCTAATTTTAAAGCTATTTCTACATAAAAATATATAATTTAAATAGTAAACCTCTTGGAACTAAAAAATACAATTAAAAATTACTTTCAAACTTCTGTCTATATTTTTCAAAAAAAAATAAGTTGAAAATAATAATTTTCAACTGCAAAAAAAATTTTTACGCAATTTAATGCTTTTTTAATTAAATTATTTTTCTTTTGAGTAAATTTTTTCTCTTTCTTAAACATAAATTTTGATTATTTAATAATGAATTCTTAATACTTAATTTAATACTTAATAATAATTCTTATACCTTATATTAACTAAATAAGTTAAAGAAATATTATAAATTTAAATTTCCAGATTATACCGATCCCTAAAGACGAGGAAGAAATGAAGAAGTTGATTTTGGACGTTCGCCATAAGGCGACAGTTTATAGATCATATTATCGTCACTGGATTGAAACTGGAAATCAGGTATAAAAATTTTTTTCCCTTTTTTCAAAAGGATGAAAAAAATATTTTTTCATGAATAGTATAAAAATAGTCTAATCTAATTTATTACTTTACCTAATCGTATGATTTTTATTACTATTTATTTATTTGTTATTAAATTTTTATATTTTTCAATTTTTATTATAATTTATCACTGAGAAAGGAATGAATTTGAATCGAAAATAATTATTTTTGTTATACAGTCAACCAAAAATTATTTTTGAGTTAAATATAATAATTTTGATTCAATACACAATAAGTTTGATTCAATACATAACACGTTTGATTCAATAAAAATAACTTTTAATTCAGTCATGAAATATGTTTAATTCAATTCAAACATATTTTTTTTTGGTTGGCTACATATTTTTGAATTAAAAAAATTTCTTCTCCAGTTATAAATATCAAAAATTAATTAAAAAATATATTAAATACATTTTCTTTAACTGCTTTATTTCTACTAAAAAAAATTTCTTCAGTTAATTAAAACTGACAAATGAAATTATTAATTAAAAAGGACGTTCGTTGATGTGAATTTATGATTTCCATTTTTTTTCTCCATGATTTTATGAGAATTTATTTTCTATAGGCTAGAAATGAAATGCTGGATAGAGATGTGATGAGAACAGAGATGGTTTACACTGAAGAGGAAATACCTTACTTCTTTTACGTGAAATGCAATCCAAATATTGCAATAGGAATCGAACATGATGACGAAGAAATTCTTTTACCAGATACTACGCGTGAGAAGATTTCCGCTAATTATATTAATTTGTATTTTAATCTCGCTGATAAACCCGGTAAAGGCGGAAAACCCTGGATTTAAAGATTTAATAAAAATATATCAAGATTCTACACACACAAACGAAAGCGATTAATTTTCATGAAAAACCTTTCATGTTATTTCATTATTTAATTGAAAAATTTAATTAAAAATTATTTTACTCTGATCGTAATTTATATATTTTTTATTTTATAGAAAAATTTATTTATTGATACACTCGTCTTTTGCCTGAATACTAGCGTTACAATTGTCCTCGAGAAAATTATTTTATAGAAAAATAGATATATAATTAATTAGAAAGTTTCGAAAAAAATTCAAATTTATTAATAGTTTTGTATTAAATGTTTAAATAACAGTAAAAAAATATTTTATTTTCTATTGTTACTATTTATTTTATAATAATAATAATTTTTCTAAACATTTTTAATTATTAACTGAATGGAAAAAACATTTTTACATTCAGTTTTTCCTTCCATTATAATATTTATAAAGAAATTGTTTTCGATTTTTAGAAGATGATGGAAAAATTAAAAAAGAAAAACGATTTTTTAATTTTTCCATCATCTTCCAAAAACCGAAAAAAATTTCTTTATAAAAAGTAAATTTTATTATTTTTTATGTTTAAAAAATGTTTAAAAACCAAAAACAATTTTTATTATTAATTATTCTAATTATATGATAAATTACGAGAAAATTTTCAAAATTACAGAAAATAAAAGTTCGTTTCATAAAATTTTTAATAAAATTCAGTCTCTAAAAAAAATTTTAATAAGAAAAAAATTTAAATGGAAAAAAAATTTTTTTGCAATATTTTCAAAGATTAAAAATCTATTTTTGAAAAAGTAATATAGAAGTGGAAAAAAGAGTATATTTATCATACGTCTTCCAGCGATTCTCTATGGCACTTTATTGTAAAGCAAACGAGAAATTTCGCTTGACACTCGATAAAAGGTCAACAAAAAAAAAGAAGAAAAAAAATGGAAAAAGAAAAAATCGAAGAAAATGCACTCGATCTCGTTCTAAAGTTTTTTTTAACTTTTTGAAATTTTCTTTCTGGATGAAAATTTTTACCCCTCCCAAATGGAAATAATTTTTTGAGGAAAAATTTCATGAGAGTAAAAGATTTATTTAATTTTGTTATTTCTCTAGAGAAATTTTTCTAAATTCCAAACTTTTTTAATTTAAAATCAACATTTTTTCCGGTGCGATAAAATTAGGCTTGATTAAAATTGAAATTCACTTCATAAGAATTTTTTTCTCTTCTTGATTTTAATACTTCAGTATTTTACTTTCTTATATTTTTTTTAATCGCAAAATAGTAGTAAAAAATTTATTTATTCATTTATTTAGTTTAAAAATATAAATTTTTTATAATTAATGAAATACTTCTTTAGACATTTTGTTTTTTCATTAAATAAAATAAAAAAGCGAAACAAAAAAGAAGAGAAAATAATTTTTTTCTAAGAAGCAAAAAATTTTCTTTCTATTTACTTATTTATTTATTTGGACAGTTTTTAAAATATTTACTAACATATTTTGTCAACCCCTAGATTAAAAATTAAAAATTTAATTCAAATTCGAATCAAAATTTGAAAAAAAATTTTTTAAACATAAAAGGAAAATATGTTTTTCTTCTTTAAACAGAATTTCTATTTTTAGTACCTATTTGTTTTTTTCTGATTTTTTTAAAAATATATTTACTAATATTCTTTGAGATTCAAGTGAAATAATTTAACATCTAAATTAACAAATTTTAATTTAAATTAAAATAATATTTTTTACCTAAGAAGACAAAAATTCTTCTGCAAAAATTATTTCATTTAAACTAAATTTTTATTTTTTACTTGTTTATTTTGAAATTTTTTTTTCAAATATTTACTAATTTATTTTGTCAAGTGATAGTCACTTCAATCTATAGATGTACTTATTTTAATTCAAATTTTCTTTTCAAATTCAAAAAAAATATTTTTTACCTACAAAAAAAAAATTTGTTTTTCTCCTTTTAACTAGTTTTTTTAATTTTAGTTCCCATTTGTTTATTCATTTCGATATTTTTTATAATATTCACGAAAATACTTTTTCAAGTAATAGTCACTTTAATTTCAAGATTAAAAAATAAATAAAATAAAGAAAGATAGAATAAAAATAAATGAAATAAATAAAGAAGAAATAAATAAAAAATAGAAAAATAAAACAAAGTAATAAACATACAATAAAAAAGTAAAATAAAAATAAAAAATTTAATTAAATTTATGTTTGGTAAATCTTTTTCTACTTGAAAATTTCGCTTCAACTGATATGTTACAGTCATTTATCATTTAATTGCCCCTATTTCTTTCGATAGGAAAATAATAACAATATTTCTGGTTAATCAAATTAATAAAAAGGATGATTTTGTTTTTATAAAACTAATTAGACATTTATATTTAATGATCAATTAAGAGTTTGTCATTCGGCACGTTTGCATCGTTGTACCTGAAACCAATTGCAACATTAATTAATATTTACATCAGATATTCGATCTTAATTAGAGGCTATTAAATTTTCGCTGTATCACTTTTTAACATGCATATCCATATATAACAAAAATATTAAAACACACAGTTATATATAATTGGAAAACAGTTATATATTGAATTACTCGTCGTTTCTTTTTTTTCACTTCGAAATATGCGCAAAGATACATGTGTGCTGCAAACTGAAACAGTTTTAAATTCATTCGAAATATATATTGTATTTTTTTTCATCTTTGTTTTTTTTTATTTTTAATTAAACTTTGCATTCAGCAGTTCTTGTCGGTTTAAAATTGCAATTGGTTTTTGTAGGTTAGTTATCTTTTTTTTGCGTGCAAATAATTTTTTTTTTTTTTTTTTTTTAAAGAAAATAGAGAAATAAAAGTAAAAGAAAAGTGTAAATAAATTTCAACAAAGTAGAAAAGCTTGTATTGTGAATTAGAGTGCTTTTAGTTTCTTTCTTTTTTTTTAATAATGATGTAAAAAATATTAAGAGATTGAAAAAAAGGGAAGAATGAGATGTACGGAGAAATGCAGAAAAAAAGGAAGAAAAAAAAATGGGTGAAAAAAAGAGAGTTGCAAGGATGAGATTTAGAAACACCAACTCGTAAATCTCTGTTTTTATTTATTTATTTCCGCTTACTTTCCACGGAGGAACCTAAAGACGACTCGTCATGTTTCTCTGGAATGATTTAGCATCGCATGCAAACCAACCAGTTAACCTCATTCGAAATAGTTTTTTTTCTTATATATTTTTTAAGGTACATATGGGCAATTCTACGTGAGATTTCAGTCGACCTCTTAAAATCGGCCAAAAATATTTTTTTTCTATTCTGTATTGAAAAAAAACAGATACGTATTTTTTTTTTATTTTTTTGGAGGCCAAATTTTTGAGTTATGAATTTTCAAAATTTTCGCTTTTTAAATGTAGGTATATTTTTAATGTCAGATAACTAAAAAAATATTGCTTCTTTTCATTTTTTGACAAGAGAAAAAAAGTTTTGTTTTTCTCTCTACTTTTGAATAATCATAACAAAAAATTTTTTTTTCATTTTTTATTAAAAAAATAAAAAAATTTTATAAACAAATTAATTTTTTTTAACTTTGGGTATGATAAATTTTTAATTTTCTTTTTTTAAAACATACCTGGAAATGATAAGAAGGTTTTGCAAAAAGTTTCAGAGTGGGCCTGACAAGTTTGATGGGTCCAAAAAAATAATTAAGCTCTCCGTGCAGGTCTCACGCACGTGGCACAATGGGATTTTTTTACAATTTATTATTAAAAATTGTTTAGAGCCTAAAAATTCAATAATAATCAAAATCCGATAAAATTTGTAGGCTCTAGACAATTTTTAATAATAAATTGTAAAAAAATCCCATTGTGCCACGTGCGTGCGACCTGCACGGACAGCTTAATTATTTTTTTGGACCCATCAAACTTGTCAGGCCCACTCTGAAACTTTTTGCAAAACCTTCTTATCATTTCCAGGTATGTTTTAAAAAAAGAAAATTAAAAATTTATCATACCCAAAGTTAAAAAAAATTAATTTGTTTATAAAATTTTTTTATTTTTTTAATAAAAAATGAAAAAAAAAATTTTTTGTTATGATTATTCAAAAGTAGAGAGAAAAACAAAACTTTTTTTTTCTTGTCAAAAAATGAAAAGAAGCAATATTTTTTGAGTTATCTGACATTAAAAATAATACCTACATTTAAAAAGCGAAAATTTTGAAAATTCATAACTCAAAAATTTGGCCTCCAAAAAAATAATAAAAAAATACGTATCTGTTTTTTTTCAATACAGAATAGAAAAAAAATATTTTTGGCCGATTTTAAGAGGTCGACTGAAATCTCACGTGGAATTGCCCATATGTTTTTTCTCCTTTAAACTAAATTTTTATTTTTGACAACTATTTGTTTATTTATTCATTTTTGGTATTTTTTGAAAATATTTACTAAAATATTATTTTCCTAAGGAGCCAAAAATTTTCTTTACAAAAACTTTTTTTTTTATATTTAGAGTTTTAGTATAAAATAATTTAGTATAAACTATAAATAAATATTTAATTAATATTATATTAAATTAATAATTTAATATAAAATAATTTAGTTTTCTTATTTTTATTTTTACCACCTTTTTGTTTATTTATTTATTTTGTCACTTTTTATAATATTTACTAATATATTTAGTCAAGTGATAGTCACTTTAATCCCCAGATTGATAATTATAATAAAATTTTTGTATTCAAATTCAAATCAAAGGCAGAGAAATTTTTTTTACTTCAGTAGAAGAATATGTTCTTCTTTAAAATAAATTTTTATTTTTAATATCTAGTTTATTTATTTTTAATTTTTTGTAGATAAAAAATTTTAATTCAAATAAACAAATAAAATATTTTTTAAGTAAGAAGACAAAATATTCTTCTCCAAACATTTTTTTTCTTTTAAACTAAGTTTATATTTATAGTTCCTATTTGTTTATTTATTTTCATATTTTTTTTTAATATTTAGAAATGTATTTTTTGAAATGATGGTCAC